TATAATGTTATAACTGAATTTTGTTGTTTGGTCTTTCTCATTATTTATTTAATACTAAATATACAAACTATGAATGGTGAGGATGGAATTAATGCGCAGAATTTATTAAAGAGTATAATTATTTGTAATATATTTATTTGTATGAGACATATATTTTCATTAATGTGTACAAGTAATTTATTTTATGGTTTGTCGAGTGGTGCATTAACTTTTAGCTGTTAATATAATAGCATCATATTTATTTATTTTTAGGATTAGCTACTATATTTTAGTCTTCTAAATTAGAATTATATATTTTTATTTTTTCACTTGAATAATTATCTTTTATCTAATTTTCAAGATATGCTTTAAAGCTTGTAATTTTATAAATTTACTATAACTTATTATTGCTTTTATTGTATAACATTTGTACTTTTTATGAAACGTACAGTAAATCTATTATTTTACTATATATATTATTAATAAATTTCTTCGGAAATTTTATTTAATTATAAAGATACAATATTATTTTATTTAATAACAAGGGTAAATGATATTACTTAGGAGTTGTTTATGTGATGCGCAGTTATGTTAGTGAGTAAATATACGTTGTCAGAGGCTAAATGAGAAAACGAGCAGATAGGATGACAACCAAACTACACAAAACCACACAACAAACCAAAACCAGAGGCGGTGATGAGGATTTGGCAAGGTAAGGCGTAATGGTATGTTATGTGCAGGAATATAGGACAACATAAATATCTCTTTGTGTATCACGTTTTATTTAAATCATATCGTTTATTATTTGAAGTTGGATCTCAATGCCTTACAACTGTAGAAATCGCTACTCTATTTTTACAGAAAATGTAAGAACAAAAAAAAAACAAAAAGAAGCTAGAAAATTTAAAGTCTTGCCCTTACATCATTGCTATGACGTTTCACGCATCTTTGCTATACACCTTTTTTCCTTATGATAATGTCAGTGGCATTCTCACACTGCCACACCCTTACCCGTTAATCGTCAGTTTATCATCCCTTTTTAACTATGCCTATGTTCAGATCACCACTTACAGGAAGATGGGCCTTATTCTTTCCGCCTATTTTTCATTTCTTGGCTTACTGTGGTCTCGGAATCTTTGCAGCCATGATTCAGCTTAATTTGGCCACAACTTGGTCACGATCTTCTCTCGATAGCTTATATGGTATTTGCCCAATTAGTAGTACCCTAGCCATGGCAAAAAAAGCTCGGGTCACGTGATGTAGATCACTAATCAAGCCAATTAGAATTGGTGTAAACACGGCGGGGCTGCGGATCACTGCCGACCCACGACTAACATGCCGTGATCTTTGTAACCGTCAGTGAATTGACGGTCTTTGAGACCGTCAGTAAATTGACGTTAATAATACGCGTGATTTGTGATACAGTAAAAATAATATACAGTATAAAGGTAATTTCAGAAATTTACTATCTATTTTTATTCTTATAAAAAATACTTTTACATATTTATATTATGAAAAAAAGATTACTATACAGCCTTTTGCTATATATATGCAACACATTGGTAGTATTACTGTATTAGAAGTATTATTAAATCATTTTATTAATTATATATATAACTTAATATATATATATATATATATATAAACTATATATCACACCTGTGGTGTTCAACACCACAATAATTTTGTTTATGAGCTGCAGTGTAACAAAATAATTTTTATCTAAACAAAAATAAATTTTGATTAAGATTAGGGTTAGGGTTAAAAGCTAGGATGGAGTGGGGTTTGTTTATACCAAAATTTTGCAATGAATTTTTTTTGTTAGAACTCAAAAGGTAGTTTCATAGATGAAATTTTGAGCTATACTCTTTTTTTTAAAAAAAAACAAAAAATCTACATTATACATAACTTTATGTTATACTGCAGCTTATAATAAAACTTATTGTGGTATTAAACACCAGTGGTGTGATTTAACAATACCATATATATATATTTACTAAAGAGAATATATATATTACAAAAAATAAAGTATTCTAAAATAAAGATTGTAAATTATTAAGTACTTTTATATAATACCATCAACATAGCCAAAATGCAAGCTTCTTGCTATTTGATATCCAAGTCTTTTGCTAATAAAGAGTTTGTAATACTTCTTCATATTATTAATCTTATTTAAAAATAGCATTATCAAAGTATCAAAATTGGTAATAAAATTATTATTATCTAACACTCTGTATGAAATAGCCCTTCTACTTTATACTATGAATCTTTTTGGTAAAGAATATAATAGTTAGATTCTGCAAGAAGACAATAATCTAAAACATTATTTAAAAATTACAAAGCCATGAAAGGAGGAAAATGAAGTCAAAGTTTTTCCCTAGCTATTAATATCTTCTAACCAAAACCTAATTGAAAATATCTGAAAACTTATGAAAATAAACCTGCCAAAAAAAAAAATTAGAAAGCTTAATACTTTGAAGAGACAAATAACAAAGAATGAAATCAATTACCTAAGGAATATGGGCTAATTTGGTAAGGAATATGAGGCATTGTATGGAGGCTCTAATTGAAGCTGAGAGTAATTATACTATATACTAATTTTTATATAATATTACATATTTTTAAATAAAAAAAAATTTTTTTTATTATATCTCTGTGCTGAGTTAGAGTGTGAAAAAACTTTTATCAGGTAATAAATATTTATAATTGAAAAAAGTAAAATTGGTAAAACAAATATCCTTGAGCCTTTACAATATATGTACATATATTTGTACTTTTTATATTTTATTAAATAGCTAAATTTTGTGTCAAAGCTAAGCAACCACAGATATTCAAGTGCTCAAGCTTTTATTTTGTTAGTTATACTAGATGTTTTAATTCTTGATTATTCTTAACTTTATACACAATAATATTTATATATATTGTAAATATTGATTTTTTTATAAAATATATTTCTTTGGTTTTTTTTTTTCACACTCTTATCTATTAATTTGTTTTACTTTGAGCTATTTCTGCCTAAAAAAAAATTTGTTAAAATAAAACTTAACAGTTGTTTATTAACAAGCACATATTTTTAATATATAAATATATAATAATATAAAATTTCAAAAAGTATATATAGTTATATTATTAAGCTCTATTAATTAATATGAGAATTTTGAATAAATTTATAATTAGCTTAGTTAATGTCTGCTATACTGTATTTAAAAATCTTCTAAAAATTTTTTTATTATTTATTTATGCACTAGTATAGTAAATAAAAAAATAATTGGCACTTGAAGAATTTAGTTTATATATTGTACTAACTCTAGTGTATATTATTTGATCAATATTACTAACTTTACAGAAACCTATATTTTTTACTAAATATGTTTAAAATATAAATATTATATATTTACTATATTATTATAATAT